GCGCCCGGGGCACGACGGGACGGTGGAGGACACGCTCCGGCCCTGCCCCGCCTCCATGCAAATGAGAAGATCTCCCTTCATGCACCGCGCGCAGCCGGCACCTCCGGGCGGCCGTTCGGCCTCGAAAAGGCAAAAAATTTCAACAAAGAGGAAGATTTACAATCAAAAATCAGCACTCATAGTCTGGGAGAGTGAACGTGTGAAGAAAAGCGTGGGATCCTGGAAACTGGTACTCGTACTAAGGTAAAAATTATCAACTAAGGGAGGTTTAAATACCACTGTGGGGGCAGTGAGATTCGTGCTCGCTTCGGCAGCACATATACTAAAATTGGAACGATACAGAGAAGATTAGCATGGCCCCTGCGCAAGGATGACACGCAAATTCGTGAAGCGTTCCATATTTTTTCGTCTCCACGGTCTCAAAGCCCCTCCCCGGGAGGACCCTTTTGTGCCCCCGGGACGCGGCTCGGGGTGTTCCAGCCCCCCGCGAGGTCGGGGGAGCTCCAGGCGCGGCTCTGTGGGTTGATGTTCGCCTGTGTCAGGCTCTGTCCCGCTGTGCCCCCGCCCTGTCCCTCACTGCGGTCGCGTTGTGGCGAAGGCAATCGAGTCCCCCGGCAGTACCCCAAAGGGTTTTTATTGAATTGCTCTCTGTTACAGCAAGCTCGGCCCCGGTGGGGAGCAGCGGGGTCCCAAGGCCAGCCCCAGACCCCCGTCCAGCTCAGCTCCCTGCAGGGCATCCATCCCACCGCAGGGAGCCGGGGCCAGCCCCGTCCTGGCACTCTGACCCTCCCCAGCACCCACTGTCCCACGAGATGGTGACACCGTGCCAATGGGCAGGATGTGCTCAGGCCTCTTCTGTGCAGCTCTGGGGGTCTGCAGTACCCCAAAGCCCTGTCACCCTGGCTTGTGCGGTGGTGACAACCGGGGAGGGGTCTCTGGGGGTCCATGGGACACCGTGGCCCACTCAGACAGCGCTCTCCTGGTAACTGTCATCCTCCAGGAACGTGCTCAGCCTCCTCACAGAGCTGGGGGCCACATCCTGCCCTGGGGCTGTGACCTCGCCATCGCTCTGCTCCTGGGCAAAGTGAACGAAAACCTGCAGGGTGAGAGATGATGAGAGACAGCACCACAGGACAGGGCCACCACACCCTCACACCTGCCTCCCCATCACCTGGTCCAGTGTGGTCTGGGACACAGAGTAATCCTCTATGTGGCAGGGGCCACGGTGGGCAGCCAGAAGGCTGAAGACGGTGGCCAGGGAGGTGACACGGGCAGGCAGGTGGTACTGCAGCAGTCCCCCGTGCTGCTCCCGCAGCACGATGCCGGGGAAGTGCTGCTGCAGCAGGGTCTGCACTGCCGCTGGACCAGGGCCCCCTGCCCGCACCACCACCGTGTAGCCATCCCCAAACCTGCGGGGAGAGGGGACACTGCTGTGAGGACTGGCCATGGTCACCACCCTCAGAGACCCCCCCTTAGCCCCCAGACCCAGTACCTGTTCTTGAGGTGCTGGACACTCCCCAGGCAGCGGAACCGGCCGTTGACCATGATGGCCATCCTGGTGCAGAGTGCTTCACACTCCTCCATGCTGGGGGGGCACGTGTGAGCCCCCCCTAGGGCAGAGGGACATTCCCCTCTGGGGGGTTCCCACCGGAATAGGGGTGCTCCTCTATTGGGGGGTTACAGGGGCAGAGGTGCTGCCCTTTGTGGGGGCTGCTGGCCCCGGGTGGGGGACTCACCTGTGGGATGTGAGCACCACAGACCGACCATCCCGGATAACGCCAAGGATGCGCTCCCACAGGAACCTCCGGGCTTGTGGATCCATCCCCGTTGTGGGCTCATCCTGCAATGATCCCGGCCCAGGGTCAGCCTGGGCAGGACCCTGGTGCAGCCGTGGGGCCTCCCAGTGCCCCCCTCACCAGGAATACGACAGGGGGGCAGCCGAGGAGGGCGATGGCCGTGGAGAGCTTGCGCTTGTTGCCCCCACTGTACTTGCCCGCCGGCCGGTCTGCGTGCGGGCCCAGCCCCAGAGCAGTGATGCCCCACTGAGCCACCTGCGAGAGACAGAGGGGGTGAGAGGTAGGGGCTCCCCATGGGCTGGGGAGGACAGGGTACAGGCCCTACCCTGGGGGTCTCCTCCTCTGGGACCCCACGCAGGCGGCTGTAGAACTCCAGGTGCTCCCGCCCTGTCAGCAGGTCCGTGATGGCATCAAACTGGGGACAGTAACCCATGTGCTGGTGGACAGACTGAAGGTCGGTGAGCACGCTGCAGGATGGGGGCAGGGAGAGGTGAGCATGCCGTGGGATGGGGACATGTGACAGGGATACTGTGACAATAGGAACAAGCAGCTGCAGGGATGAGGCTGCAGGACAAAGGACCAGGAAGAGCACAGGGTGGGGACAGAGATGATGGCATAGGTGATGTGGGGACGTGGAGAGGGATCCGAGTCCCTGCCTTCACCCACCTGTGCCCCTTCAACCAGGCCTCTCCCAGCGTCACCTCTGTGTCCCCCGTCAGCATCTTGAAGGTGGATGTTTTCCCAGCACCGTTCACCCCCAGGAGACCAAAGCACTGTGGGGGCATAGCAAGGTCACTGGCAGCCCTGGCTGTGCCCACAGAGCTGTCTGTCTGTCCATCTGTCCCTCACCTCCCCGGGGGGGATGGCCACGCAGAGCCGGTCCACAGCCGGAATCTTCCTGCGCCGGTACACCTGCACGGAGGAGAGCTGGCACTGGGGGCTCCCTCCGGTCACTGCCAGTGGGGCCAGGGCTTCTGGGGGGGCTGGAGCTCACAGCAGGGTCCAGCCCCACGTGCCCACCTTGGTCAGGTCCTTCAGCAGCAGGAGGTGGCCATGTGGGGGGATGCTGCCCACCCTCGCCCGCTCCCTGGCCACATCCTGGTCCTCATCCCTCAGCGAGGGCAGCTCCAGAGCCCGTGGCCTGTGGAAACAGTGGCAAGGACACATCCAGGGCTGTCCACCCCCTTGGGCACCCCCAGGGTGCTGTGCCCGTTGGCCTCAGGTTAGGAAGGATGAGATGCTCGAGCATATCCAGAGGAGGGCAACGAGGCTGGTGAGGGGCTTGGAACACAAGCCCTGTGAGGAACAGCTGAGGGAGCTGGGGTTGTTTAGCCTGGAGAAAAGGAGACTCAGAGGTGACCTTATCACTCTTTACAACTCCCTGGAAAGTGGTTGTTGTCAGGTGGGGGTTGGTCTCTTTTTCCAGGCAAAAACTGACAGAAGGAGAGGACGCAGTATTAAGCTGCACCAAGGGAAATTTAGGTTGGATATTAGGAAAAAGGTTTTTATGGAAAGAGTGATAAGGTACTGGAATCATCTGCCCAGGGAGGTGGTGGAGTCACCATCCCTGGATGGATTTAAAGGAAAGACTGAGTGTGGCACTCAGTGCCGTGATTTAGTCTAGGTGTTAAGGCATGGGTCGGACTTGATGATCTTAAAGGTCTCTTCCAACCTGGTGATTCTGTGATTTAGTGATTCTGTAATTCTGTGATTCTGTGATCCTGTGATTCTGTGATCCTGTGATTTTGTGATTTAGTGATTCTGTGATCCTGTGATTCTGTGATCCTGTGATTCTGTGATCTAGTCATTCTGTGATCCTGTGATTTTGTGATTTTGTGATTTTGTGATTTTGTGATTTTGTGATTCTGTGATTTAGTGATTCTGTCATTCTGTCATTCTGTGATCCTGTGATTTTGTGATTCTGTAATTCTGTAATTCTGTGATTCTATGATTTAGTGATTCTGTGATTCTGTACCTCCTGGCCAGCACTCACCCCAGGCGCAGGAAGAAGCGGTGGTACTGCAGCAGGAGGGTGAAGAGGAAGAAGACGATGCCCTCGACAGCCATGGCGAACATGTTCTTCCCAGCCAGGTCCCAGGAGAGGGGGGACACAAAGCGCTTGTCCCCTGCAAAGCAGCAAGAGGGGCTGTAGGAATAGGGGACTCCTGGGCTGGGCTTTGAGGAGAAGAACAGCCCTGACACCCCCGGACTCACCAAACCTCTCAAAGGCATCAGCCATCGCCTGGTTCTTCACCATGTCAATGAGGCCTCGGCCCAAGCAGAAGTGGGGGAAGATGAGGAAGACCTTCTTCAGGACACGGTTGATGTCATTGAGGTTCTGATGGGGCAGCAAGGAGAGCGGTGGGGAAGCTGGCACTGGCCCTGCAGGGAAGGGATGGGGGGTCCAGGGCATCCCGAGGCTCACTTGGTCCACAAAGAGCTCCAGCACAAAGGTGGCCACGCTGCCGTTGATGCCGATGAAGAGGTTGATGCAGGTCAGGGCCACGTAGGCGGTGCTGGGGATGCTGAAGAGGAAGGAGGCTGGATACATCAGGGGGGTGATGGACCATCTGCAGGGGGGAGAGGCAGGGGCTGGCCAAGGTGCACCTCCTGACCTGGGGAGGCTTGAGACAGCACCCACCCTCCCAAGCACCAGAATCCCCTCAGCCCCCAGCCCCACAACCCCCCTCGCCCCTGCTGGGCTCTGCCGCCCCATCACCCGTAGAGCAGCAGCAGCAGCACCAGGGAGGGCAGGTTGGCCGAGGACACGTAGGATTCCTGCTGGAAGCAGAGGAAGATGAGGATGACCAGCAGGGCGGGGACCAGGTAGTTGCACTGTGGCGATGGAAAAGCCAGGAAAGGGGTCAGGGGTGGGACCAGACCCCTTGGAACTGGTCCCCGTCCCCATCCCCATCCCCACCATGTCCCAGGCGAAGTTGCCCAGCCAGTAGGTGATGGGCTTCATCCCGCTGACGAACTGAAGGTGCTTGGCCTTGCTGACCCGCTCCTCAATGAGGAAGACGACGAAGCTGGCCGGGACGAAGGACATGGCGAAGATCACGCAGATGGAGACCAGCACATCCACAGAGGTGGCCATCCTGCCAAGGAGGGGAGAGCTCAGTGGGGGCCAGAGGGGGCTGCGGGACCCCCATCCCCAGCACTCACAGGGCGGCCTCGGAGAGCTGCTCCTTGGTGAGGTTGAGGGGGTGGTTGGTGGCCGTGATGCCGAAGCGCGTGGGGTCAGTGCCGGGGGGCAGCCGGGCTCGCAGCAGCCCATTGCTGGCTACGTTGAGGAAGGAGACCATGGCGTGCCAGCCCTTGTTGTTGAACCAGACCTGCAGCATGGGGAGGGCCGGGCAGCTCAGAGCCCCCCACCCAGCCTGGCACTGCCCCTGGCAGCGCCCGGTCTCACCAGGAGCACCCCCACTCCCCATGGGGCTCCTGCTCCCCTCCAGCCCCAGCCACTCTCAATCCTTGGGCTGCTCCACCCCTTGAGGGGACACTGTCACATCCCGGCTGCCCCCCAGCTCTCACCCCTGAGGGACCCCCAGCCCTGGGCACACCTTGATATTCCTGCGGGCATCCAAACCCTCGATGAAGCGGCTGAGGTTGGCCAGGAGCCGATCCGAGGGGCTGCCCTGGGTGCAGGAGCACAGTGTGAGGAGGGGTCTCCCAGCACTGGGACACCAGAGCTGAGCCAGGGGCTGAGTCCAGCTGTACCAGGGTGATGTTGAGCAGCACTCGGAGCTCCAGCACTGCCTGATCCACCTCTGCTGCCGATGGCAGGGCCTGGGAGCTGCCGGCGCCCAGGGAGAAGCCGCCGTACCTGCAGGAGAAACGGGGCTCCCGAACTTGCCAGAGAGACTCCCACTGCCAGCGTGCCAGCAGCTGGGCTTGAGGATCCACGGAGGTCCCTTCCACCCCAGGAGATTCTACAATTCCACAATTCTATGGAACCTGCCACCCATTCCCCACTGCCACCCTCGTGCAAACTCAGCTCTCCACTTGCCCAGATGCCAGACTAAGGGACACACAGCAGAGGGCTGAAGGCACCTGGATGATGGCTCTGCCCAGGGACCACTCAGGCTCTCCCCAAACCCACCAGGGTCTCCCTCCATCCCTGGTTGTGACAGGCCCCAGCCCCTGCCCCGCTCACCTCTGCTCATTCACCCACTTCTTGTTCCTCAGCCTGAAAGAAATGAGGTGAAGGGAGACAGAGGGGAGAGAAATCCCCCAAGGAGACATTAGGGCAGCACCTGTCCACCCAGCAGTGTCCCCTTCCCCTTGGTGTCCCCACTGTGCCCCTGCAGTGTCCCCTGTGTTCCCAGCACTCACTCCTGACGGATGATCTGGGGATAGGTCTTCACCAGGTAGTCAGAGATGTTCCTGCCTGTCAGATTCTGAAGGATGTCCCCTGTGCCCCTCTGCACCTGTGGGATGGACAGACGGGCTGGATGGACACCCAGCCCTGTGACATCCCCAGAGCATCACCTGCCCCCACAGCCAGCAGTGACAGAGCCCCGAGGCTGCCCCTGCTAGGCTGGCAGTTACCTGGGGGGGTGGGAGCCCCCCGGCCCCCTCAGGACACTCAGGCAGCATCCTGTGTGCCCCCGGCCCACTGCACTGGCACGGGGGGGACGGCCAGGCCTGTGTCCAGTTCCCACGCCGCAGCACTTCCAGCAGGGATGGGGGGGCTGCGGGGACCGAGAATCCATCGGGGTGGGAAGCTGGTGGGCACAGCCCCGTCCTGGGCACCCGGGGAAAGAGAGAGAATCCTGTTACCAGCCTAGTGTGAGCCAGGGGCACCCCGGCACCCAGCACGGGGATGTTGGGGTCTCACAGCGCCACACCAGGCGGCAGAGCTGCTCCGTGGGCAGGCGGGCACTGAGGTGGGGGCCAAGCCCCGGCTGTCCCCTCCAGCCCCCGCAGCCCCCGGACACTCACGCCTTCCCCTCCTCCTTCATACACTTGGTGCCGAAGCCGGGCTCAGCCAGGAGCGCGTCCAGCAGCCGGGCTGTGTCGGGATCTCCCGGGGCATCGTTGCTGCCGGGAGACACAGGATTGAGCTGGTGGCAGTGGGGGACGAGGGACAGGGCGGGAAGAGGGCTGGGGACACACCTGAAGAAGGTGAACTGCTGCCCGTACATCCAGGGCTGGAGCTGCAGGGGCGGGTACTTCCCGAAGGGCGGCACGATGAGGCTGAAGAGCAGCGCGATGCAGACGAAGACGGCGGGGAGGACGATCTGAGGAGGCCGGGGGTGGGGGGATCAGGGCTGTCT